ACTGGGCGACATTACATCATAAGAAGCAGCCAACCAGCTTTCTACTACATTACTTCACCCACACTACTGCACCACAATTGGCCACACCCAGAAGACCCCTAACACACCACTGGTCACACCCAAACATCAGCATCTGGATGGTGACACCCAAAAAGATGAGCCTCTGATTGCTAACACCTTGGGACACACTCAAAGCCCACCCACTCTAGAAGGGAGATAAAAAGGCAAGCCTCACAACTACTCTTCCTTCATCCCATCAGGGACCATGGAGGAGTGGACAGGCAGAAGAGGACAGTCAGAGAGAGAGACAGAAAGGTCTTCCTTTTTTCTGTTGGTTTACTTTCCCATGGCCCCTGCAGCCAGTGCACCACGCTGATCCCTAGCCAGGAGTCAAGTGCCTCCCCTGATTTCCCATGCAGGTGCAGGGCCCAAGGACTTGGGCCATCCTCCACTGCACTCCTGGGCCACAGCTGAGAGCTGGACTGGAAGAGGAGCCATCAGGACAGATTCTGGTGCCCCAACCGGGACTAGAACCCGGTGTGCCAGCACCACAGGTGGAGAATTCACACTTGTTACTGTTGCTGGATAGTGTAGAGATTGCCTTACCCCTAGATGTGTGTTATGACCTGTGGACTAATGGTACACTGAGTGCTACTGGCCTGTAAATGTGCACACTGAATATATATTATGGAGCATATTGAACAGTACATCCTATTGAAAAGACTGTCATGATTCTGTGCGATTCTTCCCCATGCTCTGACACATTGCATTAGGCTTGTCGAGCTGGGTGACCTGTGGCACTCATGACACTGTCTCAGAGCCTAGTGGAAAAAACCAATCACATGTATGACCTTCATAGCAGTGATTCACATACTGTAAGTGGTCCTCTGACTTGTTCATTTAAGAGGTAGACACAGACACGCAGAGAGCTCCCATCTGCTGTTCACTCCCCAAATGCCTGCATGGCCGGCATCCCATAGGGGCTCCAGCTGGAGACCCGGCTGCTCCACTTCCGATCCAGCTCTCTGCTATGGCCAGGGAAAGCAGTGGAAGATGGCCCAAGTCTTTGGGCCCCTGCACTCAGGTGGCAGACACAGAAGAAGCTCCTGATTCCTGGCTTTGGATCAGCACAGCTATATCATTCTGTCCAATTGAGTAGTGAACCAGATGATGGAAGACCTCTCTCTCTCTCTCTCTCTCTCTCTCTGACTCTCCTTCACTCTTTGTGTAACTCTGATTTTCAAAAATTTGTAGAAGGTGAATTAAAAATTAATTTTATTCTTGGGCCAAAATTTTTCTGAAATCTATGCTTATGCAGAATCTTCAAAAGCTCATTGCAAAATGTGTGTTATGGAAAATCATGCATGGATTTCAGAATTGGTTGCACCACACTTATCTTGTAACTATATTGCAGTGAACACTTTTAACGTACTCTCATATGCCTAAGAGCAAATCAATTTAATTACATGGAATGCATTTCTTATTTTAGTCACTATTTTAGTTACATTTTCAGGGAAATATCCAGGGGTATGCATTAAAAAACAAGTTTGATTTTATTGAGAACTTACAGTTTTAACATGCTCAATGAGGTCATTTGTTACCATAGTCAGATATAACTAGTACACTCCATGAGACATTAATTTCATTTTCAGAACCATCCAGATAACATCCATGTTTAGAAAAAAAAAACAGTAAATTCAGGGTCAGTGTAATGATGCTGCGAATTAGTCTGTCATCTGTACTTACCACCATCCCATGTTGGAATCCAGCTCTCGGCTAATGCACCTGGGGAAGTAAATGGCCCACCTGCTTGGGCCCCTGCTGACTAGCTGAGAGACCAGGATGACTTGCAGATTCCATCTTTGGCCTGGACCAACACCAGCCATTGTAGCCACTTGGGGAATGAACCAGCAGATGGCAAATGTTCTCTCCTCTCCCACCGAAAACTCAGCCTTTCAAGTAAATGAGCAAATAAAAATCCTTTGAAAACAATAAGGAGGGGGCCTGTGGAGCAGTGGGTTAAGCCATGTGCAGTGCCAGCATCCCATAGGAGCACTTTCACCCCATTGCAAGGTACAAGGTCCTAGCACCCAGCTTCAGCCTGGCCTAGCCCTGCACTTTGAGGTCACCCGGAGAATAAACCAGTGATAGCAGCTTCAGTCCTCTGTAACATGAACTTCCCATTACTCTGAACAAATGGCTTATTTTCTCTGCAAGGCTCTGGAAACTGGTCTGGGTCGCGGTCCAGAAAACTAAATCAGCACAATCCTACAAGATCCAGGTCACCAGGAAGAACAAGTAGAGACTTATCTCTAAAAACAGAAAAAGTTTGAGACCGTTCTCAAAGACTTATTTTAATCAGGGGCAGCCTCGCATGCTGTTCAAGCAGTCACTGCATTTTGCAGGGTTGATGAGGGCACTCGTTCCCCTCAGCAACTTCAGATGTGTTTCTTTCTCGTACAATTCTTCCTATTCTACCTGCTATTTTGACTTCAAGTGGCTCAGACTGTCACGTTTGAATCAGGGAGGCAACACATTTTCAACCAAAGCCATTGATGAGTTCTTCTATAAAAATCTCTTCTATAAATTCCCAAGTACAGTGAAGCCCTCAGGAATGACCCTAGGAACGCTGAGGGTCCCCATCCCTCAGGGTTTCCCAGGTCTCAGGTTCGGGGCCAGGGTGCTTTCCCATGGACCTCAGATGGACTAAGCAGGAAGGCCGTGGCATTTCTGGAAGGATGGACCCGTGTGGAGGAGCTGCCATCCCAGGAGCCAGGCACTTGTCCTAAGAGCGGGAGGCTTGGCTTCAGCTGTAGCACAGGGAGCAGCCTAGTGCCCAGGGTGCAGTGCGTGGACGGAAGCTCTGTGCTTCTCAACACCGTCAGGGCCGTTTCCCAGGGCACTAGGGACAGGAGGGATGGCCACGGAGACGCCAGGAGCACGCGCAAGGGCGGCAGGAGAGCCTCCAGCAGGTTCCCAGCCCGCTCACGGCCTCGCCATCCTCATGACTTCCCGCTACCTTCGGGCTTGCTCACCGCCAGTGCGCATGCCTATGAGCAGGGCCGGACATTGGCGGGCTCCAGTTACCTTCCAACATCTCCCAGCACGCCTTGCGGGCGTTCCAGGCCTGAGGAACTGGGTGCCAAAAGACTGTGTCGCCAAAAGCGGCGTCGTCAGGGTCTGCTACTTGCAAGGTAATGGCTGCCCAGACACTCATGGCCCCGAGCTGTGTGGATGCCCGAGCTTGAGGGGCTCCGATACCACAGGGGCCCTGCAGCGGCTTCCACAGGTGCTTCTCTCACACTGACCAGAGCAGAGGCCCGGAAGACTCCCTCAGGTTTAGAAAACCCTCTAGTGGGTGTGCAGGTAGCGCGGGTTGTTGAAAGGGAGTGCCGTTCTCAGCTGCGCCTGTAGGACTGAGGAATCCTCTGAACATGAGGAAACATGCACAGGATTCGCGTTCCGTTCGAACGCACAGGTCACTGATGTGTGCGACCTGCCTCATTTTAATAACAAGCTTTGGATCCTAGAGGGGTGTGATGTCAGGTTTCCCTTAGCAGCCTAGGTAAATACAAGATTTTCACAAAAATCGATGAAAGCACTGCGTGAGATTCAGCTGTGTGCATGAAATATAGGATGCTATGTGTGTGTCTATCTTTTTTGAAAAGGAAATTGGGCTGAAGTGATATAAAAATCAAAACACCTGTAAACTTAGCAATACATTTATTGATAATAAACCATAGTTTTACAATCACTTTCAATAACAAAATGTAGTGTGCCTTACAATTGAGGCTACTCTGTGGCTTACTTGTGATCAAAAAGTAGAAACGCATGAATAATTTATCATGTGTCTCTCATTATTTACATACTTTACATAATGTATTTAATCTTCTCAGTAACTCTGATCCTGAGTGTATTGTGGATGTCTCCTTTACAGATGAGCTGAGATACTTTATCACAGTGGTAGTCAGTGTCCAATCACATTCAGAAAGTGTGCAGTTTCAATCAGGTCAGTGTTCAATCAACTTCACAAAGTGTGCAGTTTCCTTTTCTAATACCTGGAAACCATTCATAGCATGTGAGCATGCACTGGAGGGATTTGAATGAATTCACCAATAAAACCAAATTCCTTCAGGAAAGACAGTTTTTCCCAGTGAGACAAAGCCAAGAATTTCCCACTAAAACTCTTCCTCAACAATGCAAGGATCCGGAGAGGGTACTTTTAAAAAATAGACCTTTAACAACCACATATGGGCCCTTTGACAGCTAGCTACACAAGGGCTAGTCTTTTCTTCACACAGACAGGTGGATTTCACAGCTTTCTAGTGACAGTAGAGGCTCATATAACTGAACATGTGTTCAGTAAGTGTCTCACATAATGAGATCCAATTTACAAAAGCCTGTTCAGGACAGTTTCCTAAGTCCCATCTCAAGCAGCTCCATCTCACACCATTAAATAGGTGGTGTCAAGTGTTGATCCCCAGTATTGTGTTAGACTCCACCATTTGATCCTGTATCACAGCATTGAGTCTCAAAGCAGACCTGCTCCCTGATGCTTCGCCCACCTACGCCTCTCAGTCACTTCCCAGTCCTGAAGACCTGAGGCCATCCTCTCTGACCCAGAGTCAGGGTGGGGGTGGGAGTCTTGTAGGCAGCCTTTAGACACATCAAGGCCAGTCTTGGCAGGTGGAGTTCTTGGGAGAAGAAAGTCACATCCTCCCATCCTGAAGGAGGATGATAATCAAGAACGCTCTGTGAAAATTAGCTGTGCTGTCAGAGGCCCCAAAAAGTTGCTTTACGTATGTTGTTATCTTTGTGCTTCATTCGCTTCGTTGTGCTGGTTATGCATAAATACCACCGAGCCATTGGAAGAAACGAGCCTTGATCAGCCTTGTTCTCTGGGCTCCATTCTCTGCCATCTCTTGTCCCTCTTTTCAGTCCCCCCCCACTCCCTTAGGTTCTGTTCCACTGGTGTGGCTGGCCCGCACAAGTTCTCCCTTTCAGTCACTGTCATCAGAGGAGGAAGAGACCAGAAGATCCTCATAGAGGACACTCCTTGTGACCTGGGGACCCTGCCTCTCAGACTCCTTTAAGACGTGAGTGTTCTGACGAGCAGCTGTAGACTTCCCTGGATTGGATGCGGGAGGGGTTCTGGACCTGGCACTGTCCTGTTTCTTGGGGCCGATTCTCTGTGTCGGGTCTGGAACATGACTGGACACTCGAGGTTGGAAGATTGGGAAGTTCTGGCCTGAGCTTGAGCAATGTGAGTTAGATGGAGGCTGAGGGTCAGAAATTGGCTTCAGGACTGGCGTCTTTGTGGACCCTTGGGGTGCCCGAGAGTGTGCAGGTCCACTTGTACTGGAGAGAGGTTGGGAAACCAGGAGTCTTGGCTTCTTGGGGCGGTTCTGGCTGGTCTGGATGGAGTCTTGGGCAGACCTCTTGCCTGGAGCCTGGGTGCTGAGTTTGGAGTTCTGGACACAATTTTCTGTGACTGGCTGTGGAGGCAACTTTGAATCCACCTCCGCAACTTTGATCTGCACCTGTGGATTAGACCTGTGACCCAGGGTAGGTGTCTTCCTGGCAGGTTGAAGAGTGTCACGAGAGGAAACATCAGGCCCTTTGGCTGTTGGCTTGGCACTGCCAGCTGGGCCTGGGGTGAATTTCTTTAGAACATGGTGAGGGGAGTCAGCAAAGTTGACCCCAGATCCTTGGGCTGGGCTGTCAGTGCTCAGCTGAGGTGTTTTGTTTGGAGCCTCAGTAGTGCAGCGTGATCTATAAGGTGTCTCACTAGGCAGTGGACATGGCAGTGCAGAGCCGAGGGGCGACTTCCTCTTGGATGTTTGCACAGGCAACGGTCTAGTAGGATGCTGTGGCAAGAAAGTTCACATTAGACCCCTCAGATGGATGAAGAACTCACATAGTCAACCATGCAAAAATGGAAAATCAGCATGTTAGTAACAAAAAAGGATATTGATTACTAATATAAATTGGAAGAGAAAGTAGCACATACAGGTAGCACATACAAGATTGCAACTAAATCAGGACCACAAAAGGGGACGAGGCAGCCAATATAAAGAGACAGTACATGTGAAATTAAATTTCACAGAACTAAATAATGAAATCATCCAGTCACATCTTCAGAGATTGTCTACTCAGGTTAATGAGGGGAAAAGAACACGACATCAGTCTGATTCTTGTGTGTGGCAGATAGGACAAGCCTATCATTACCTTGTCTGTTGTTAAGATCAAGGGAGTGGCTGGCACTGTGGAATGTGGTGCTGGGGTGAGAAGGGCTGACCAGATTCTGGTTTTCGATCCATGTGTTGCACAGAGTGTTGTGAAATTTAAATAGGAAGCGAATTCTACGAAGCTGTATCTGACTTTGAAAATGTTTCCTACAGGTTTTAAAGGTTGATTGCATGTTGGTAGATTGCTGATGGAGTACCATCATATTGTTAAGGGGCAGTTAAATGCAGAAGACAACTACCCTGTGATGAGCTTTGAAAACTCTCTTGGGCCAGTGCTGTGGCATAGTGGGTAAAGCCACCACGTGCAGTCCTAGCAAGCCATATGGGCACCGGTTCACATCCAGGCTGCTCCACTTCAGATGCAGCTCTCTCCTATGACCTGGAAAAGCAGTGGAAGATGGCCCAAGTCCTTGGGCCCCTGTACCCACGTGGGAGACAAGAAAGAACCTCCTGGCACCTGGCTTCAGATTGCACAGCTTGTGGTTACAGCCATCTGGGGAGTGAACCAGTGGATGGAAGAACTCCCTCCCACACCTCTCTTTATCTCTGTACCTCTGCCCCTCTGTGACTCTGCCTTTCAAATAAATTTTAAAAATCTTAAAAAAAAAAACACATGTCAACTACCTAATCCTTTCTTTATCCAATATGGAGAGTGTAAATCAAAAACATCTTTTGGAAAGGAAACGTGGGATTAATAAAAGTGTAAAGGATGCCTTGGATGGATACAAGATAGCACATGATCAAATCATTCATGGATGCATCAACATGCCTCCACTAGCATTCACTGGCCAACTTGCAAATAGTGACATAAAAATTCAAATAAAGCAACTGGAACATGGGATACAGACAAATAAAACAGAATTCTGTGGGCCAGCCTTGGTTTAAATATAATTCCCACATAGAAGGGCATACAATGAAGCAAATAAAAGGCCACAGAGAAAAAAATCACACTGCAGAAGCGGGAGTAGGACTCACCCTCAGATAGGCACATGGTTCTGTTGCTGCCTCAGAGTTCTTCGGCTCCTTCTGTGGCCTCCCCTGTGTTGCCTGTGGTCCAGTTTTCCTCTGCTGCCCTTCATGCCTGCAGAACAAATCCTGTTATCTGTCTGAGGTACCTTTCCTACCTGTCTCTAAGAGGGACAGCAAACCAAACCAAGAGCACTCCCAGGGCCCCATGCTAGCCCTTGTTTAGGAGTGAGGCAGGCACTGAAGCCCCTGTGAACTTGGCCCCAGCGGTTCAATTCTTGTCTGGGAAGCCCCTCTACCCCCAGGATGTGCTGCGTTCCCTAGTGTGACTTCAGTGTTGTGCACTTTCATTTAGTCTGTGGCTGTTCTGGCTGCCAGGAGCAGCATTCCAAGGTATTCCACAGCCCTTCCCTTTAGTGGTTCTTAGAATAGGATGAGCTCGGTGTGCACCCCTGGAAGGTCTGGAGCACTTGTCTGTTTCTCTGCAGTTGTCTGTCTATGCCTAGAGACAGCTCCAGGGAAAGAAGAGGGGGTGGCACAATCTTCTTGGTTGCCAAAGCTCAGGGCTCAGACTGTGCCTGCAGAATCCTTACCTGTGAGTTCCTGCCTCTTGTCTCTCAGTCTTCCTCAAGGATTCTGCAGGCTGAAGTTCGTCAGGTTTCTTGGGTTTCAGGTTCTCCTTCTCCTGATTGCGACCCCAGGCCAGTAAGGGAATGGCCCCGCCCCAGGACTTCATGGGGCACCTCTTGCTTTTGGCCAAGTGCCCAAAGGCTCCACAGTTCTTGCATTTCACCTGTGGGTAGGGGAAGTGGTTATTAGGTGAGAGGGTACCAATCACAGGCAGTTTTCAAAAGTGGATATAAAGAAGATTAGGGAAATTCAATATTCTTTGGTGGGAGATCATAGACCCATGGATTTTTATTTGCCAAGAAACTCAAGATATTATGATCCTCCCAGAGCCAATTGAATCCAGGGATCCAAGGAGGTAGAACTTTCACATCTAAAGGAGATGATAGTGGCTGTTCCTCACAGGCTCTGAATGTGCCGATCAGCCAGGTAAGGAGAAGGCAAACCAGCCCGGCTTGGCAAAAGAGGAATAACTGAAAGATGGACACACAGAAACCCGCGTTTAAACCAACTCCTCATGGACCCCTTTGTTCTCAAAAGCCCCAAGGCTCCGCTTACCTTGCTGTACTCTCCGTCTGGTGGGGAAGCCCTCTGGCACAGCAGTCTTCTCTGTGGGTTATTGTCCTTCAGGGGCCTTCGAGGCTGATGACATACTGAATGGCGTGCCATCTGATTCATAGCCTATGGCTTCTGATCAGGCTTGCTCTTTAATTGATCATTGGTTTTCCTAGTCCAAAGAAACAAATTTAAAAATTCAAAATGTATGACACAAGCCCCTCATACATCTATTTCTCCCAGGAGAGATTGGAGGGACTTCCTGAGTACTAACCCGCATCCACCACATCTTGGATCTGTGATAGATGCCCCATTCTGACCTATTTTGTGAACATGTTGTAGTGTTTACCTACTGCCAAAAAAGGACACTGCCTAAGAAAAGACCACTTAATTAAAAGGCTTCTAATAGATGGTGATAGTGAATTGGCAACCCTACACAAAAGTATTTTTGGTTCTGAGTTTTAGTTTAGCTTCTCTCTCCAGACTAAAAGCCCCAGCAAAGCCAACAGAAGGGTAGCCAACAACTGGTATTTCAGATCATAAAAACTCTCTATTTTCACAGAGTAACTTCTTACCCACAAAGCCGGCAGAATGCTCTGACAAAGCTTTGATATTTCACCTTGTCAAAACAAAATGAATTCTCTCAAGTTAACTGAGGGCAAAAGTAAATTAGATGCTGGGGGACAGTGAGGCAAAGGGAGACAGTCACACGCACTATTCTTGGACATAGAATGAAAATCGATAAGTAAGTGCTTGACCTTTATACAATCCTTGCTTCTGAAAAGCTGAAGTTGACAAATTGATGCAGTCTGTGATCAACCAGTCAAACTGAACAGTTCCCAACAGGGCATGTGCATAAGCCAGTCAGAACTGAGCAAGCTGAAATCCTTCATTTGCATCAGGAGGACTCCATGAGACCCTGAGCAGGACATCTCCCTCAATAGGAGAATTCCATCCTCTCTTGGGAGAGGTTCTTTGATCTCCAGTGAGGGCTGCATTGCCCTGGCTTGCAAATTCTGTGACTAACAAATCTTGTTAAGTTTTTAAAGTCAAGTCCCTGTGAAGTGAGTGTCCTGCAGCCTTGTTCAGGCAGAAATGGAGGGCCCTTGGGGAATCAGGTCCTGGCCCCATGGCTCACTCCCCAAATTTGCTGTACCTGTCCTTTGGGTCATCTGGTCTTTGGGAAGTTGCTTGGGGCTGGTCCACCGTAAGCTGACATTTCCCTTGGGAGACACAGCGGGCTGTGGGATCCTCTCCAGGCTTCAGGGGAAATTGTAACATGGCCTCAACAGAGGCAACAACTACCCACTTCTCCACCATCAAATCGATCTGATAAAGAGAAAAAAGGCATCAAGATTCAACTTTCAGCCTGCAAGCAGGAAGTGACTTTGGGAAAAGAGAAGATAAACTCCCAGTAGATAAATTCCCAGTCACTTGAGCATTTTCTTTTTCTTATACAGAAGGCTTTTTGTTTAAGTATGTGTAAGATTTATAATTTATTTGAAAAGCAGAGAGAGAGAAAGAGAAGCCTTGCATCCACTGATTCACTCCCCAAATGGCCACAATGGCTGGAGCTGGGCCGATTTGAAGCTGGGAGCCATGAGCTTCTTCTGGATCTCCCATGAGGTGCAAAGGGCCAAGGACCTGGGTGATCTGCTTTCCCAAGCCATAGCAGAGAGCTGTGTAGGGAAAGGAGCAGCCAGGAAGAAAGCGGCATCCATATGGGATGCCGGCATGCAGGCAGCGGAATGACCCACCTCACCACAGTGCCAGCCCTTTTCCTTTCTGTTTAAAATGTTTTGATTAGGCCAGCGCCACAGCTCACTAGGCTAATCCTTCGCCTAGCGGCGCCGGCACACCGGGTTCTAGTCCCGGTTGCCCCTCTTCCAGGGGAGCTCTCTGCTGTAGCCCGGGAGTGCAGTGGAGGATGGCCCAGGTGCTTGGGCCCTGCACCCCATGGGAGACCAGGAAAAGCACCTGGCTCCTGGCTCCTGCCATCGGATCAGTGCGGTGCGCCGGCCGCAATGCGCCAGCCAGGGCGGCCATTGGAGGGTGAACCAACGGCAAAAGGAAGATCTTTATCTCTGTCTCTCTCTCTCACTGTCCACTATGCCTGTCAAAAAATAAATAATAAGAAAATAAAATGTTTTGATTACCATGTTGGTATTTGTAAGCCTTTTAGGAGGAGCCGGTTTTGAGACACAGAGGTAATCCATATAGGCACCAGTTTGATTCCTAGCTGCTCCATCTCTGACCCTTCTCCTTGCTAGTCTGTTGTGGGAAACACCAGAAGATGCCTCAAGTATGTGGACCCCTGCCCCCACATGAGAGACCTGCATGAAGTTCCAGGCTCCTGGCTTCTGCTCCTGCCTTCTGATGGCCTTTGCATCTATTTGAGCAGTGAACCAGCAGATGGAATCAACCAATCAGTCTCTGTGTGTGTGTATGTGTGTGTGTATGTTTGTGTGTGTCGGTGTGTCCATCTCTCTGTGGCTCTGCATTTCAAACAAGTAAATCTCCAAGGAAAACCTTTGTGGGGCAACTGAAGTGTTTCAACACATGCCTACAGCAGTGAGCACCTTAAACTTTTGTTATTCCACAGCCAACAATGAACTTGCTGGTGACCTCCAAATAGTACCAACGGGTGAAGGAACAGGGTCTTGCTTTGTTTCCATTCTCTTCATACTATTTGTTGACTCTTTTACTGAGAGTAGGGTTCACTCTCTGATCACTAAGTTTGCTGACAATAGATCACTGTAAAAAGCAAGAGTGGGTATCTGAGAGGGAGGGTAAGGGGGAAGTGCCACTATGTTCCTAAATCTGTTAGATGAAATGCATGAAACTTTTGTAACTTCAATACAGTTTCAAAAACAGAAAGTGGAGTCTGGGGGAAATGCTGGTGTGAGCTGAAGGGAAGTAAGATCCATAGCAATGGCATATGCCTGTGTTTCTCCTAACGTCCTTTGAAATTGGCCAGTGCAATGTACAGAGAGTTTTAAACACTGACTATTACAGCTGATCATGGGAGGAGTACCTGCCTCGGACTGACCCTCAGCTTTGATGCCATCTCATTCCATCTACTTCTCACTTGACCCAGTATCTCCCATACTCACATCTCGTTGTGGGATCCCCCATTGCTTTAACAGCTCCTTCCCCTGTTCCATGGAAAGAGTGTTGGGGTCCATTGTGGATGGTGCTGGCCAAGGGCATCTGCCTCCCTGGGGAAATAGAAACGGAAGCCACTGGATTCTTATGCCCTGAATTTCAACTAGCTTCTAACAAGGCACTGAGTACATTGAAAGAAAAGATAAGTGAATAACACTCTGTTTGGAAGCCCTCAGTCAAAGGTGCAATGGCCCCTTTACTGCTCACTAGCCACCCCATCTAAATCAGAAAGTTAGGGGGAAATGGTACCCTTTATCTAATAATGAACATTTCAGAAATATGGTTTGAATCAGGCTCTACCTTGGGAAGTATGAAGCAGTTAACTAATCCTTTCCTCAACTCTTAACACCACCTTCCATGGATTGTCCCCACCCTCCTATTTTTCCCATTTCATACACCAAGGCCCAAAACAATCATGGAAACTCACCTGTCGTCTTTCTCGAGCTCTGAGGTTGCTCAGGTGTGGGCACAGGGCAATTCTGCTGGAGACAGAAGCTTCCAGCATGACCAGTGAAGAGGTAGACTGAGGGGGAGGAGCCATGTCCTGCTGGGCTTTATACTGTCCCACAGCCCCAGGATGATCACGTGACACACCCTAATCCCCACAACTCAATTACATTGAGAGGATTTTCACCCAGGCCTCTGATCTGGTTAACTACTTTATTGAATGCTACTCCTATAGTACTTTTCATTTTAACGCATATGTGGGCATTTAAACAATGCATTGTAGTTTGGTGTTTGCCATCCCCAACATTTAAAAAAAAATTTAGTATGTAACAGTGTGTTTTAGCACTATATGAAAGCTCCTAAAAATGTTCATGGGAAGGGCGGGTTTCCGGAGGAGTTGGTCTTGCCCAGCAAGTTAAGCAGATTAAGCTGAAGCCATCTGCATCACTGGTATCCCCTGTTGGAGTCTATGCTGCTCTGCTTCTGAGCAGCTCCCTGCTACTGTGCCTGGGAAAGTATTGGAGGATGGGCCCCGGTCAGCCACAGGAGAGACCCAGATGGAATTCGTGGCTTGTAGACATTTGGGGAGTGAATCAGTGGATGGAAGATCTCTCCCCCTCCCCCTCTCTCTTTCCTCACCCTCCCTTCCTCTTTCTCTCTCCTTCTCAGACTGTTGCTAATCCTTTCACAGAAATAAGCCACTCATGCAAAACTGGATTTAAAGTAAGACTTTCTGTTGCAAAAAAAAAAATGTAATCCATTCATGCTTTCTCACACTGGGCATTATCAATAACCATTTGAAAGACTCCTCATGTGCATGGATTGGAAAATGATGGTAACTGACATAAACTTCTCTTGTAATTCAATTTTTCATGAACTCTTCGAAGTGTTCTCATTGTTTTAGAGAGAGGCTATGTGCTGACGCTAATTAGAAAATATTAGAGGTCAAAATTATGTTTAATGCACCTAACCTGCTGATCCTCACAGCTTAGCAATGAGGGACATTGGAGAGTATGGCTGTGGATCCTCGGGACTGTGTGGCTGATGGGTTGCTGGGCTCCCTGCCTGGCACTTCAGAGACTCTGGTACCAAGGACCACAGCCTGAGAAAAGATCAAACTCCGACCTGGAAATGCGGTTTCTGCTCCATGTGTATCGCTTTTGCACCTTCTTAACTTGCAGAAAATCTCAGTCAAGCTGGTGTTTGCACCAGGAATACAGGCCAATCCTCCCCCAACTCCACTCCTTGAGTCTGGGGCCACACTGATGTTAGAGTGATGGCTGCAAGCCATGACCATTTTTAGAACTTGAAAACCCATGTTTCTCTTCTCTGCCTCTGATGTCTGCCTAGTGAGTTGCTGTTCAGCTACTTTATTTCTTCCCATTCTTATTCGAGTGAAGCCTGGCTCACTTGTAAAATGAGGACAGGTTGACATGAATAATCTTTGCACACACACATGTGAAGCATTGTAAATGCTCTCTGGGGTATAGTAAATGTTCTAAAACTTCATG